TTGGTTTGAGGCTTGCATAGTAATTGGGCTTTGAGACTTGACTGGGCTTGTATGTGATATTTTTTGGCCTCAACACCACCAAAGTTCATGTATAAACAATTGACTTAATCATGTATAAAAATCGAACAATATTATATTTGGTCCTTGAATTGGACTTTAAAAAACATATTTTTGTCTCATAAAAAATTACCCAATAACATAGCGACAATATCATTATTGTGGTGCTTAAAATAATCTCAAAAATTTTAAAGGTGCCATGTGGACTTTTGCTCAAAAAAGATAAAATTGTCCTCATTAAATGAGCAGGCTCCTCAAATACTCTTATGTGTAGCTCAACACCCCTGAAGGCGCACAGCTCACCTGCTTTGGTAAAGAAAAGTCAAAGCATTAAAGAAAATGATTAATTACATGAATCCTATCTTTAATACATTCCCAATTGAAGATTGACTTCATTCAAGTAAGTACTCCCTATTTAAATCAATTAGGAATATTTACATCATTATCTCAAGATATTATTTCCTATTTAATATCTTAAGAATATTCTCTCCATACACTTTGGCTAATAGGATGCCTCCATGTATAGGGTAAAACCCATATACCATGGCCGACCCCCTTCCCTATATATATATATATATCTCAAATTCTACCAAATTTTGGTAAGCTTTTGCTATCCATAAAAACCCTAACCCCTCATCCCCACCTCGTGGGCGTGTGAGGCTTAGGTCTTTGATCAAATGTGTTGATTGTTTTACAGGTGCATTTTCGTCAAAGTAAGAAACGACAGAAATTTGAATCGGCAATTATTATACCATACCAACTGAATTATTAGCATACTAAAATTTAGGGTTACGAAATTTTGGCAGGGTAGTACCAAAATATTGGTATGGTAATTGGTACAAGAGCTTTGGTACAGTAATAGTACATAACTCACCCCTATTAATGTACAAACAATTGACTTAATCGTGTATAAACAGTTGACATGTTCATGTATAAACAATCGGTGTCACAATAGTTCAACTTACTTTAAACAGTTGACCTGATTATATATAAACATTCAAGGTTCAACTTATTTACGAAAATGTCACTGCTTCCCAAACTTCAATTTATTTACGAAAAAGCCACCATTTTTTTTACTTCATCTTTTTTACAATATTGCCGCTAAACTTTGGTGGGGGACTTTTAGTTCGAGGTGGAGTTGGGCTTTGAGAATGTTCTCTTGTCTCCTTTGGTTCACTTTCATACCAAGCACCTGAATATCTCGAAAGAGTTAGCTTGTCTTAAGAAATATCTTGGTTAGATCAATGACTCGAAGATTAGCATGATTAGGTAAATAATGGCTTGATCAAGAGAAGTGTGGTGTGGAAGCTAGAAGTTCATTAGTTTTACATGAAAGAGAGAAAAATTGGATGATTGTATAGGTGTGTTGTTTGATAATCTGGGTTTCCAAAGGTGGTAGCAAGACTTAGAATGGTTGCGATACTTAGAAGATGGACATGGAAAATACTAAGGTTGCAAGATGATGTTTCTGGGTTTTCTCTGGTTCTCTGTGTAAAAATTGGGGAATTGGTGGATCCCCTTTCTGAAGTTCTCCACATATATTTGTAGCTTAATGATCCCCTCCCAAGGGATCTCTATTTTGGACGTGTTTCTCTATCCCCTTTCTCCCTAGTTCTTTTTTACCCTTTATCCTGGTGTAAAGAGACTAGACTCTAGGACCTGCAACATGTCTTCTTCCTGACGCACAAGTTTCCTAGGTTAGCTTTCCACATGCGCTACTTTTAATAGTGTGCTTTATGGCTTTCACGCATTGAACTTCTGCGTAAGCTGGGAAGGGAAAGTTAGCATTAAATGCTTGTTTTGAAGGGCTTTCATGTCACATCCCGGCTCGGGCCCCCACCACATCCTGGGCTCGACTCCACTATAACACGATATTGTCCGTTTTGGGCTCCGACCACGCCCTCACAGTTTTATTTCTGGGAACTCACACGAGAACTTCCTAGTGGGTCACCCATCATGGGATTGCTCTTGCGCGAACTCGCTTAACTTCAGAGTTCCAATGGAACCCGAAGCTAGTGAGATCCCAAAAGGACTCGTGCTAGGTAGAGATGGGAATATACATATAAGACTTACATGATCTACTCCCATGGGCGATGTGGGATGTGACAGTCCATCCCCCTTAGGAGCCCGACGTCCTCGTCAGCATACATCCGGCCAGGGATTGGCTCTAATACCAAATTATCACATCCCGGCCCAAGCCCCCACCACATCCGAGCTTGACTCCACCATAGCACGATATTGCTCGCTTTGGGCCCCGACCACGCCCTCACGGTTTTGTTTATAGGAACTCACATGAGAACTTCCTAGTGGGTCACCCATCATGGGATTGCTCTCGCGCGAACTCGTTTAACTTCAGAGTTCCGATGGAACTCGAAGCCAATGAGATCCTAAAAGGCCTCGTGCTAGGTAGAGATGGGAATATACATATAAGGCTTACAGGATCCACTCCCATGGACGATGTGGGATGTTACATTGCACGTGAACTTAGGGTTGGAATTTGGTTTAATCCTAACTGAACTAGTTAGCTTGCTAGGAAAATAGGTAAAACTATGTTGATTCTTTCTCAATACCTGCCTACATGGACTTCAAATATTATGGGCTAGGATCTTCGAGCCCCCAAGTAGCCCAAATTCTTTCGTAACCTTGATTCCACATAAGCCTGATGAATTTCCGTAACCATCCACACCACAATTCACTTGACAAGCCCCGAGCATGTGACTTTGGCTTTATTTTAGTGTGACAAATAAGTATGGTTTGATTTATGAATATCCAATTTAATTACTGTAGCATGACATGTTTGAATAGAGGCTTGCATGGTAGTTGGGCTTCGAGACTTGTTTGGGCTTGTTCATGACATTTTTGGGCCTCAACAAACTTCAACTTATTTTTAAAACTATCACTACTGCTTCTTCTTTTTGGGAAAACAAAATAATTGTTTTGATTTTTGGTATCTATAAAATCAAAGTTATTCCATATTTATCACTGGTAGGCATGGCCTTGTTTCTTTCTTCTAGGTCCTAGGTTCAAGGCTTGTTAAGACTTTATTTTATGTATTTTATTTGTCCGATTATGGGTTGTTGTTAAGACTTTATTTTATGTATTTTATTTGTCCGATTATGGGTTGTACGATAATTCATATAAAACAAAAGTTATTTTTCATTGGACTGTGTGCACGGGAACATGTGTTGTGCGTCAAATAGTTATGAGATTCGTACGTTGGACTATTGGACTAAGTTTATTTTAATAAAAAAAATCATGCTATAACTTTATTTAATGAAAAAAAACTTAACTTTTAATGAAATCTTTTAAATTTTAATAAAAAGGATTAAAAAAATTAAAATTTTAATGGAAAAGACATAATTTTAATATTTAAAACAAAATTTGACGCGTGGACCCACGCTTCCCTCACCCAAACTGTTTATGAAACTTCTGCACTGTTTATAAAACTTAATGGTACTGCACTGTTTATGAAACTTAATGGTATTACACTGTTTATGAAACTTACTACACTGTTTATGAAACTTAATGGTACTACACTGTTTATAAAACTTAACGGTACGACACTGTTTATGAAACTTTCTACACTGTTTATGAAACTTAACGATACTATACTGTTTATGAAACTTAACGGTAGATGCTCGTCCCAAATTTTCAAGTGCTTTCACCAGAATGGAAAAAAAGATTTAAAAAAAAAACATGATAGAGATCAACGTCCACACTGTTAAAATCATGCATGGCTAATAGCTCAATACCATTACTAGAAAAATGGGTGATGAGTCCAATTAATGGTGTAGCCCCACCCCTACCCCCAACCATCCTAACCCACACTTGACCGACTCCTTCCCAACCATACCTTCGCAGATGTGGTTCTGAATCGAACAGGACCCACTTCAATTTGAAATTTTAATTTTAGAGGAATAAAATATGCTTAGATTATGTCAAAGGGTTATGCAACTAAAGGATTGGTTGGGTGTTTTTTGCACGCGCCTTTAGTTAGATTTTTTTTGTTTTTTGTTTCTCTTGTCTTTATCATTAAATAAAGTTATATAATGGTTTGTGGTTAAAACCCAAAGTTTTGAAGCCCTTTTCATTAGTTTTCTTAAAATAAAAAAAAATTTTAATGTCATTTTCATTAGTTTTCTGTACTTTAAAGTCCCTCATGTAGGAATTAGATCATCTCTGGATCCCTTCACTGGGGATTCCGGGGATGAATTAATAACAATCGTTCATCAAAGATCGTGCAACCACAATTTTTCTCTTTTTTATATTTTTCACGCAAAACAAGATTGCTTTACTTTTGAAAATATGAAAAACATTCAATTGGGGCCCCACGATCTTTGATAAATGGTTAGTATTAATTGATCCCCCAAATCCCTAGTTTAGGAGATCCGGAAAGAATCTAATTCCCCTCATCCAAACTTAACACTAAAATAATATGTTGTGTATGAATGAGGATCCTCTCTGGATCCTCCAATTACGTCTGTTCATTGTACATCGTGCGATCAGTTTTCTTCATGTACTATTTATATTCAATTTTAAATTAAAAAAATTATAATAATTTATTACCATACAGTTTTCTTCAGGTACTATTTATATTCAATTTTAAATTAAAAAAATTATAATAATTTATTACCACACAATATATGATGAACGAACGTGCCGGATCCTCATTCTGTTGTATATATATATGTTTGCCTTAAACCAAACACTATCGGTCTAGAAAGTTGTGTTCTAAAAATATATCGAATATTCTAACATAGTATGTGTCGCTGCATATTCCCACTTTAGCAAGACGTAGACATAATTTTGATCAATTAAGTACGTGATTACAACGTAAATTTCCATCCATTTTAAGTGCGCGATTACGATGATGACGCCTCATCATCTAATTTGTCAATCTTCCACCAGAAAAAAAAACAACATCAAATGGTAAAGATCTCAACTACAAAACCGGTAGTCCTTCAAATTTGTTTTAACATATTCATTACCACAAGCCTCACAAAGAACCATGGGGGAAATTTTGCAAACCATCAGATAAAGAGGTGAAAACTTTTATCTACTTTTATTCCGGTTATGACAGATGACTTTACTTTAAGATCCTGGCTAGAAGACCATAAGAATCAATTGGGAAGAAAAAAATGAAGGCTTCTGAACTTGAAAGCATATGAAACTCGGCTTCAAGGACACCGCGAATCAACGGAGACTGTGATGGCGGCTAAATGCGGCTCCTGCTCTTTGATTGCTTCAGATTCTTGGACTAGTTTTGTCGCACATTTCTGCATCTCTTTTTTCTTACCCCATAGAAGAATGTACAAGCCGACGATCACAACGATAGATCCTAACAAGCTGCTCAGTGTCAATGCAGCACCAATGAGGAAAGTTATTACCAATGTACTAATCATATGTAGGTATTGGCAACTGTAAAATAGATATATAGGAAAGTTCACCTTCCGAGGTGGAGTAGTTCATGGAAGATGGGGATACCAATTAGGGCCACCATTATCTGCACGAGCGGGCTAAAAGCTGCAGTAAACACCGGCCCCCGTTTCCTCACACACCATGACATCCCCACAAAACCTAATCCCGATGCTATCATTCCCTGTATAATGTATATATATACACCAATAGTAAGGCATGTAGCTGAAGCATGTATAACTTTTTTTTTTCTTCTGAACAAAGCGATATTCTAAGCTTCTTTAATTTCCTGGAAACGGATATATTAATTGCATTGGCCAACTGACATTACCTGGATTCGCGAAGTTGTATAACTTTTGGAACAAAGATACCAAAACCCCATAAGTATTTTTGCGTAATTGTAATTAGAAGAAGGGTAATACTTACAGAAAACAGGACAGCTATGACTTGTGTCCTTCCCCTCAGAACCCACATGGAAAGGTTCCTTCCTGTGCAAACACCAAGGATTGCAGACTGAATGGCACCAAAGAAATTCATTATTGTGGTGCTAGAATACTGGCAAGGATACATCTTGCTAATGTTTGTTTGAACAAGAAACCATGAAGACCACAATAGGGTTCCGCCAACCAAAGCTATAGAACCAATCGTCCATCCCCCATGGTTTCGCGTTGACCTCAGCTGAATTCCATGATCTATGGTTTGAGTACTAACTGTGGATTTTGAGGAATCAAATAGAGGAACTCCTTTGTAAAGAGTTAGTATAAAAGCACCACCGACGCACACCAGTGTACCGAGCACTTTTGCTCTCCCGCTGTGGCATTTTAAGTTCACTTTCTCTAACCTGCAAGATTAAACGCTCGATTTCGTACAGCAGCACGTGAACAAGATTCAAAGAACATGTAAATGAGGTTTTTGTGACTTTTTTTTTACCCGAACGGTAACGCCATTATGAAAGTGATCACCGGCACCATGTTGACGAAGGCACAGGCAAAAGTCGCAGATGTGTATTGGATTCCGAGGAGAAAGAAGTATTGTGTTAGGGATGTCCTGCAACAACAAAAAGATATAGACACATGAAAAAATGGAAAATTGATGTACAAGTCTCTGTCGAGTTTACTAACCCAAGAATTGCACTTAAGAAGAGAAAACATGTGATGCGAATTGTGAGCTTTGGTCTAGTATTCCTGCAAGCAAATCAGAAAAATCTGCAGCAAGTTAAGGCATAGAAATATCAAAATGAATTTCCGAAAAAGCGAGGAATGATGCTTGCCTACCTTTCCCCAAAGTAGCTAACTGGTGCTAAGAAAATGGTAGCAATCGTCAACCGGTACGTTATAAGAACCAAATGGTTCATTCCCTCATCGAGCACTTTCTTGAGCAGAATATTCACTATAGCGAACGAGAAATCGATTGCTACCATGGCAATAAAAGGCTTCCATTCGCCACACCCCTTCACGTCCGCCATTTCTGTGAGTCACACTAGGAGGCTGGGCTGAGCTAGCTAGGCCTCTCAACAACTCTGAGTTTTAGAGGATGATTTTCTTGTGCTTAAAAACACAGCAGAGGGCAGACCAATCTGTTGAGATATATAGACAAGCTCCAGAATAAGTGGGCACAAAGCAAGATTTAAATTCTGTAAATCACATCACTGCTTTAAGGAACAACTTTGCCATAATTTAATCTTTGATTCCCTTTCTTTTTTCTTCCTTTTTTTTTCATTGACTGATACTTTCCAATGCACACAGACTAACCGGGGAATCGTTTTGTACAGTTCATTCGGGCATCGAATTCACGACCTCTCTCTCATACATCCCTACCCTAGAAGTTGTAGAGTCTTGTCATAGGCCATGAGTTTTTTTTACTACTGTATCAGGTTATGTTCTTTGCCCCAGTGAATCTTCTTTAAGTCAACAATTATACTATATATAGCTCATCATAGGCATCTCTTTTGAGTGGTGGTGTTGGAAATAAATACTCTTCTACCTCCTTCTGTGCTTCGCATTGGCATCTAATACTTCATCGTCGAACCAGGACGAACAACAGCCGTATATCTTCTACACATGGTCTAGAACAACATGTCAAATCTTCCCACCAAGAAACTTAAAAAACAAAAAGAAACGTAATGGTTAAAACATGGGATTGTGATCAATTAAACTATGTTGATCACCTACACGGGTGAGGCAAGCGAGGTGAGGTAGGGTTAGATTAGACGGAGGAGATTAGTAACGTTCATCTCATGAAGCGCCACTAACTATATCCTTTCTAGGCAGAATGCTTGTTCTTATGTCAATAAATCGTCGATAATATTGACAGATAACATGATAACAGAAAAATATATTATTATCCATACATTATGGCCATTATTAAATCTTCCTACCATATAACTTAAAAAAAAGAAGAAAAAAAAAGAACAAAGAAACATAGTGTTTAAAACATGGGATTAGCCACTTAATACTACGTATTCCTCTTCACTTATAAGTAAGAGGTCTTAGGTTCGATTCTCGTCAAAGGCGAATTTGAACCACATTACTGTTTAGCCCATTGTGAGGCTAAGCCCACCCCCTCCCTCTTAGTGTAGATAATATTGTTTGTTCCAAATTTTTTTTTGAGATTATGCTCAATTAACTTAGTTTGATCATTGAGCATGACCTGCATTCTTTATTTAAAAGGATAGACTGTCAATATACCGTCAATAATTAACAGATAACGTGTCAATAACAAAACGTATCAACGTATTAGTGATACAAATATCAACATTATTGACACAAAACCTAACCTTTAACAAATTATGAATATCATGCACACTCAATTACTAACTAAATCAGTACATCAATTGAGCACTTAAAACATATTGCGAGGGCACTGAAGCCCGATAGCTGAAAAGCCAAAGATTATGGAAATAAAGAATGATCAAAACTCAAGCTTTCTGTTCATTTTTCACAATTATAGGCATGAATGAATAGCAATGTCATCAATATGATTTGGCTAACATTATTGAATCACTAAATCACCACGTGTAGTCATTCTCTTTACGCTTAGTTAGCTTTTTTTTATTTCAAGCTCCTCTCCTTTTTCTTCAATTTTGTAGTGGGAAGTGATTTTCACAAATATTTTTTCTCTCTTTACAGACTTTTAACTATGTTTTGTCATTGAATTAATTGGATTAAAGAAAAATTGTAGAATTATTAGAGAGACGGGACAAAAATTCACTTCCAACAATACTGATATTGTCCACTAACTTGTTAATTATCACATGCACAGTCGGACAGGTACACACTTTCAACAACACTAATATTGTCCCCTAGCTTATTAATTATCACATGCACAATCCGATAGGTGTGTGTGGTTTCGGTATTAGTATCAAAGAGACAGGTCAAAGACCCACTTCCAACAACATCAATATTGTCCCCTTAACTTTTTAAGTCCGACAGGTGAAGGGTTTTAACACAAAAGGGGATTAGGATATTTAAACTCTTCTTTTTTTAGAGATACAATCAATGTGAGATATTTCAACATAAACAACGAACATAAATAACCAAAAGTATGCTTGAAGAGAAAATAGACGTGTGAAAAACATCTCCGTTCTAAAATAGTTAGGGCACCAAATCAAGAATCTATATGTCAAATTAACTATTTTCTGGCCTGACCAGGACCATCAAGCAGTTACTTTTGTGAGATGACCATGACCACTCTTTATTGGGGACCCAAATTTGCATGTCCATATATACTACCTTTTTCTTCAGTTGCTATCTTTAGTAATTCCACTTAGCCTTTGCCTCATGCTTTGCATATATAAAGGTTTGAACTTTGAGGAGTGATATGTCCTGTGATTAGTACTGAGATTAGTCGATTGTTTTAGCTGAGCTTAGTCACGCATGTCTCTATTTCCCATCATTTCGAACTTTCTCAATCAATTGGTGGATATGTACCCGAGGAAGAAAATATCTGCTGATATAATGCGACAAAAGTAACAACGACGACAAGAATTATTGAATAATAAACTCTAAAAGATAATATGAGATAATCTTAAAGTTTATTTGGTAATCAAGAAAAATATCTGATACAAGAGCATGACTTCTTATTCATCAAGAAAACAATCATAACCTAAAAGAAACAATTATGAAATTATTTGTAAAATAACAAACTTTCTTAAAAACTCTTGAAACCTGATTATGTTTAATTAAACAGGATTATTGTGCCAACCAAAATAAAGAGGTAAAGTTTCCTCAAACCAAGGAACAATATTGTGTTACAAGTAACATAAAGACATGTACAAAATTGATGCTATTGATAAGATCCACTCATTTCCATACACCAAATTAGCAAGAATAAATAAGTAAAAATAAAAAGAGCTCCAGTACAGCAATTGATGATCAAATCTGCAAGAGAAAAAACACATTTGGGGGTTGTTTCTGCCGCTAACAAGTACAGAGTAGCAAAACATTTCGATTAGAAAATAACATGTGCTCAAATTTGATGCTCAATCTTCATAATTTTGCCATTTTGCACCGTCACGTGTCAGGAACAATCAGTCAGCAGCAGAGTTTTCATGAAGAAGCACGTATTCCCGGCTACTATTACCAAACCTAATTGTGTCCTTCTCAACAAGTTCATAATACATTTGAGGTTCGATTGCACTACCATTAATATATGTTCTGTTCGTGCTTCCAAGGTCAATTAAGTAAGGCCTTACTTGACTTTCTTCTACTCGCCGGAATTGCACAATAGCATGCTGTTTACTGCAAGACGGATGGAATGTAGGAATGTCTGCCACTCTCGTTTCCCTCCCGAAAACATGAATCTTTGATGATGCAATTCGTAAAAGGGTTCTTCGCTCGAAACCAATTTGCCATCCTTGAAAACATACAGCATCCACCTTACATCAGGTTTGTGTGAATCTGCAGGCTCAGTGTATAGTAGTGTTATGCTCTGGTATCTATCGGTTACAGCAAGGCTTCTAGACAGGTTAAAGTTTGGAGCTTGAGAGTCCGATGAAGACATGAAGGGATTCAAGTGTACCACCTTATTTTCCGGTCACACTTGCATAAACAAAAAATTGTATTGAACACGAGTGTGACACTACTAGGTAGTGCTAGTAGATAGAAATCATAGAATTGTGAATAATTGCGGCTTGATAAATATGACTTCTAATCAAACAAAATTGGGGATCGAGTGTGGAACTAACTCAATTTGGTTCTTTTCTACACCTTGAGAAAATAAATAAAACAATAAGTTTCCTTTGCATAAGCCACGAGGGATTTTTGGGGTGAGCGAGCAAGCGTTACCATCTTGAGAGCACATTACCAGCCCAACATGAGGGTCATATAAGCCCCGTTTGGTAAATTGGATGAGAAAGGTTATAATCAATTAAAATGGACTTGAGTCCAATCTGTTGTTTATTATGTCAAAATGTAAGATGGGCAGAATTGAACATGAGGGTTTATGAATCCACAACAGAGTGGATCTAACATATCATTTTACATAAGTTACAAATCATGTCTGACAAGTTCTTACTAATCCCACAAGTTAATGAGAGCAAATTTGAAAGGAATTGCAAATATTATATATTTTATGTATAAAAAATATTAATTGGTTAACAATGGTTAGAGTGGTGTTTTCTGACAATGGTGGTAACGCTTACCACTTAAGAAGGGCGATGACCAAATTTAGACTTTAAGGCTTCCACAGTAGTTTGAATGAATGTGATACCTATTTGGTAAAATATATTTTCATTTCACACTTATAATGTTACAGCTTAGGTGTATATATACAACAAACTATCAGATTATCTTAACCACTAAGATAACAACTAAGAAGGCATAGTTACAATGTTGCCCTTTATATCCCCCCTCAAACTGAACTTGGGTAGTCTAAGTTGAAGTTTGTCACGAAGGAAGAGGAATCCAAGCTTGGACAAAGACTTTGTGCAGATATCAGCTACTTGTTCTTGAGTGCATACAAATTGGACAGAGATCTGTTTAGCAAGTACTTTTTCCCTAATGTAATGATAGTCTATTTCTACATGCTTTGTCCTAGCATGAAAAATAGGATTTTTGGCTAAGGATATAGTTGAAATGTTGTCACACTAGAGTTGGGGCGTTGCAGGCAGGCAATAGCCAATATCCACCAGTAACTAACATAGCCAGGTTATTTCAAAAGTAGTGTTAGCTAGAGATCTGTACTCTGCCTCTGTGGAAGATCGAGCAACAGTTGGTTGCTTCTTTGCACTCCAACTAATCAAGGAGTTTCCCAGATAGACACAATAACCTCCAGTGGATCTTCTATCAAGAGCACAGCCAGCCCAATCAGCGTCTGAGAATGCTGTGATAGTAGGAGGAGTTGAACACTTGGAGAACCAGAGACCAAGGTCAAGAGATCCCTTGAGATATCTGAGGATACGCTTAACAGCTTGAAAGTGTGAACTTATGGGATTGTGCATGTATTGGCTTACAAGATTAACTACAAAACTAAGATCAACACGTTTCTAGGTGAGATATTGGAGAGCACCAACTAGTGAACGATGCTCAGAAGCATTTTTACATAAGGGAGAATCATGATCCAAATTAGAGGTGCTGAAAGGTGTACTGCAAGGTTCGGCTCCAGTCATGTTTGCTTTGGATAGCAAATCCAATATGTATTTGGACTGAGAGAGAAAAATATCGGAGGAGGATCGTTTAACTTCAAGACCAAGAAACTAATGTAGAGGACCTAAATCCTTGATGGGGAACATGGAGCTAAGTTGCTGAATAACTTGTTTACATGCTGTAGAATTTGGAACAGTAACCAAAATATCATCAACATAGACAAGAATGAAGATCATATCGACCCTTTTTTATAAACAATGAATGATTGTGAGATCCAAAAAATCCAAGAGAATTAAGAGCACCATGAAACTTGTCATACTAAGCCCGCGAAGCTTGTTTTAAACCATACAAAGAACGATGCAAGTGGCAGACATGAAATGGTTTAGTTGAATCTTCAAATCCAGGAGGTTGTTGCATGAAAACTGATTCATTGAGTGTCCCATGTAAGAAAGCATTGCTGACATCAAGTTGGTTCAAGAACCAATCAAATTGAACTGCAAGAGTGAGGAGAAGTCTAATGGTAACTGGCTTGGCTACCGGACTGAAGGTTTTAGTATAGTCTAAACGTTCCTGTTGATTAAATCCCTTGGCAACGAGCCGAGCTTCGTACCGATCTATAGTGCCATCGGGCTTTCTCTTGATACGGAAGACCCATTTGCAACCTACAATGTTCTGTGAAGAAGACTTGGGAACAAAAGACCATGTTCCAGTGTTGATAAGAGTATTGACTTCCTCTTGGATTGCTTAACGCCAATGAGGGTATTTGGAGGCTTGAAGATAGGTTTTAGGTATGTAATCCACTAAGAAATGATAGGGTAGAAGGTGTTTAGTGGCAGTGAGTGCTTTAGGTTTGAAAATGCCAGATTTAGACCGTGTTTGCATCAGATGAGTGTTAATGGTTTGATTAGAAATGGGAGGAATGGAATCTAAAACTGCCACTATAGGACTTGAGATAGTAGTGGAGGAATGGTTATGTGATAAGATAAGTGGTGTACTGGAGGAATATCTAGGCAATGAGGTGTTAGTACCAGAGGAAGAAGAAATAGGAAATGTAAAGGTAAGAGTAAATGGTATAAGGGATCCAGTCCGAGGATGCAGGGGTGGTAATGGGGTTGTGGTGTTTGACATATGATGAAAAGGAAAACTAGATTCATTGAAGAGAACATGTCTGGAAATGTACACTCTATTGGTTGCAGGATCAAGGCACTTATAGCCCTTGTGATTCAGACTGTATCCAAGAAATACACATGCTTTGCTTTTAGGATCCAGCTTTGAGGAAGTATAAGGCTTAAGCCATGGGAAACAAGCATAACCAAAGACCTTTAAACACTCATAGTTTGGAGCTCGATGATATAGAGATTCCCAAGGAGACTGTCTTGATGCAGTAGACAATTGGTTAATAAGATAGATTGTTGTGGTGAAAGCCTCAACCCAATAAATGTGGGGTACTTTGGAAGCTGCCAAAAAAGTGCGAGCAGTTTCAACTAAATGACGATGCTTGCGTTCTGCACACCCATTTTGTTCAGGTGTGTGAGGGCAAGTAAGTTGATGTTGAATGCCAAGTGTAACCAAGAAGTTAGAGAAATGAGTACTTAAGTACTCTCCACCAGAATCAGTCCTCAAAGTAATGATGTTTGTACACAGAGAATTCTCAACCAGAGATTTGTATTGCATAAAAGTTGACAGTACATCATATTTGCATTTTAAAGGATAAAATCAGCAATATCTAGTAAAGTCATCCACAAAAATGACATAGTACCGAAAGCCTTGAGAAAAGGCTATAGGTGATGGTCTCCAAACATCCGTGTGAATGAGTTCTAGAGGTTTGCTAGTTGTACAAGATGTAGATACAAAAGGAAGTTTGGAGCTTTTACCTAATGCACAATCTAAGCAGAATGACTTATTTGTATGAGCGAAAACAAGAATACAAGATTTTGAGGCAAGTTTATTAAGAATCTTGACTGATGGGTGACCCAATCTTTGATGTCAAACATCCTTATAAGCTTTTGCAGAAGCTGTGAGTGCTTTATGATGACCATTTACAGATGAGTGAAAATGAAAAGGATAAAACCCTTTCTGAACATGGCCTTTAAAATGCATCATCCCCGAAGAAAGATCATTCACAGTGAAGTGAGAGGGATAAAAATGCAATGAACAGTGATTATAAATCAGAAATTGATTTGCAGATAGAAGGTTATGTTTCATGGCAGGCACATATAGGACTTTATTGAGTGTAAAAGCATTAGTAGAAGTATTCAAAATAGTAGAACCAAAGTGAGTGATGGGCAAACCTTTGTCATCACCAATGTACACTTGTTCTGGTCCTGTGTATGCTTCAGGATTTTGCAGAGTTGCATAGAAGTTGGTCATGTGTGATGTGGCTCCAGAATCGACAATCCAAGTAGGATTGGATGAAGAAGTGTTAGCAGCCATTGCTGCATGAGAGGATTTTCCACCATAAGCTAGATCCAGGCGATAAGGACAATCACAGGCCTCATGATCAAACTGATGACAAATCTGACAAGGATTTTTCTTAGTGTAGGATGAAAAATTGTTGCGACCTCCACGATTAGGACGCTGATTATTACCACGATTATTAAAGAATCTCTAATTATTAGAAGATTTGTAATTTCCACGATTGAAAAGACCTCGATTATGAGGGCGATCCATTCCATGACTTTGAGTGCTGAAGGTAGAAGGAGACTGAGCCATAAAAGCCTGAGAGTTAGGAAGAGGAAGGATGCCTGCAGACGTGTTAAACGCCTGAAAAGATGATGCCTCAGAAATGCTTTTCTTGCGATTGGCTAATTGAATCTCTTTGCTAAAGAGCAAGCCCTGTAGTTCATCAATTGTTGTAGATCTGAGACAGAATTGAATAGCATCAACAAACAAGTCATACTCTAGGGGAAGGCCATGAAGAGTGACAGAGATCAGATCGAAATCTTCAACCGGAGAGCTGACACTAGCAAGGGCATCAGCAATTGCCTCAATTTGCTGAAAGTATTGAGCAGCAGTTGAATTTCCTTTGGTAAGATTATGAAGGTGAGAGCGTAGCTCATGAATATGAGATTGAGAGGCCGTGGCAAGACGTGATTCCAATTTCGCCCAAAGGTCACGAGCTAAATTCACACCAACAATATATGGAATTAGGGATTCAGAAAGCGTGGAGTTGAGCCAGATGAGAATATTTTGATCATTCTCATACCAAGAAACATAAGCAGGATTGAGAATGCGATTTCCCAAAGAATCAAGAAGAAAATGAGGCAGCATCGCCATAGATCCATCAATGTGACCAGTAAGGTTGTAGCGGCGAAAAATCGGGGCAAGGAGAGCACTCTAGGTCAAGTAATTTGTGGTGGTAAGCTTGATTGGAACCATGGATCCAATGTTTTGGATCGTGATTGAGGTAGAATTTGAAGAATTAGGGTTTGAAGATTCAGTCGGAAGGGGATGAATTGGAGAAGCCGATTCCGATGAAGGAGAAGCCATTGTCAGATAGACGATGAAGGCAGATAGCACGATCAAGAGCACGATCGAAGATCTCGAACACGATCGAAGAATCGATCAAGAACACAGAGAGAATGAGCGTAGAGAGAAGCAGGAAAGGTAGGATCGAAGAGCGGGAGTCGTTAGATAGAGAAGGCGGTTGATACCATATTTGGTAAAATATATTTTCATTTCACACTTATAATGTTACAGCTTAGGTGTATATATATACAACAAACTATTAGATTATCTTAACCACTAAGATAACAACTAAGAAGGCATAGTTACAATGTTGCCCTTTATAATACCTATATATAGTAATCATGCATCTTGAACTTGATACTTATTGCACTAATGCTACACTAGTATGAGTCCAATATATTAATATCACACTCATGAGTTTAATATATTGTATTCATAAGTTTAATATATTAAACTCACGAAGTCAATATATTAGTATCACACTGAAACTTTTCAGCACCATGTAAAAATGTAATTCTTATATGACTTTAATATATTAATGTCATGGTCACTTTTTCTCTAGAAGACCCAACTTTATTTGAAACAAAAATAAATAAATTTATAGTACGACAGAAGAAACAACTTAAACGCAATTTTTTGTTTGTCGTTTGAAGGTATGGACTTAATTTGAACGCTACAGTTACGTACTCCGCGCTTTCTTTGAACCCACGCTTACTGACCCGCGCTCTCTGCTTACTATTAACGCTATTCATTCATCCCTATATAAATTACTCGCTCTCAAATCAAACCCTAACCCTGCGACTCTCTTCCCAAAATAGAATAAACCCTAATTCTCTCTCTCTCTCTCTCTCTCGCATTCTCGTCTGATCTATCGAAATTTCGCTCTATCTCAGGTACTTTGCAAAACCCTAACTCTTACAGTTTTTCTCTGTTTTTCACATTATAATGTGAGTAATTCAACTTTTATTTGAGCGATTTCTCCCGAGATTATAATTGTAAGGAGAAAATTGGAGCGTTGGTTCTTAAACGACTGAATTATAGCTTTCATCCATGAATTAATTGTAATTTTCGTTCATGAGGGCATGAATTAGAAACCCTTAAAATTTTGTGTCTGAATTTGACAAAATGTGAAGCATTGAACCTTCATGCCAATCGTGAAGCATTGTGTTAACTTACGGTGCTAAATGAATACGGAAATTCTCGCATAATTGCAATCAAGAACCAATGCTCCACATTTGGATGCCAATTTTGATGCATCTTTAATTCGAATCCAAACCTACAACTCGGTCATAGTTTAAGAATTAATGCTCCAATTTACTCTTATTCAAATTGTTGCAACTGCAAAATTACATTAACGGGTAATTGGACCGATTGAATAGAGGATTTACTGACTAGATTGGTTTTTGAGGATTTATGCAAAAGTTTGGATTTTTTTGATAATTTATTGTATTTGAGAGCTATTAAACATCATCTATATGACTCTGTTTTCGTTAATTTTAATTTCAAAGTGTTTTTAATTTTTCGTTCTGTTGTTGTTTCAGCTTTGATTTCCACAAGCTCTGAAGATGGGTGGTGATTCCTTTCGGTTTCCTGGCTGGGGTTCAACTCACTGTAAGTTTTCTCAACTCTATCTTTTCATATGAGACATGAGTCAAGATTTCCGTTGTACCGTGTTAACCGCATTCAGTAATGTTCAGTTCATTCCATATTTGAATGACTGTTTTCTGTTTTTTTTTTTTCTGGTATGCATTTATAACCAGCTTTGAGTATTTGTGCTGCATAATCTCTTGTTTGTTCTCCGTGGAAAATAGTTTAATTCATGAATATTGTTTAACAGCTTGTGGGAATTCGTCTGGAAGTCCATTTTATTCCCAATCGTTCTTGGAGCATGAATGGCGCAACAACAACGTTTCTGCTCCCAATCTCTGCAGGTGCGGTCAAAATGGTTTGTTTGGAGCAGCGCAATCTTCTTGGCCGTTTCCTCCTTTTGGAGTACCTTATACTCCTGATCTCAGTCTCTCATTGTCACCAATTGCTGGTAAGCTGCCTCCCACCTGTGCTATGTCATTATGGTGAAAGATGGTTATTAGAAATCATGTACAATGTCACTTTCTTAAGTATGCGATTATTTACCTGTGCTTGCATATCTAGTTTTGTCCCCTACATTAAACCCCAATTTGAGTTCCTTCATTTTCTTTTTCCCCGAAAGTTTATGCCTATATATAAGTGGTGGTTTCTGTATGACATTAATATGTTGTTGAAAACATTCTGTTCGCTACACATTTGTTTCTGATTTAGTACTGGATCTATGAGCTGACTTGTGAAACAAATTTTGTATATTGTGGGAACTTCACCTGTTTACGTAGTCAGCACGTGTCCTAGAATTCTTTCCTTGAAAAACATATTTTGATTTTGATTTATGAAGTACATAAGTTACTGTGCAGGTTTCTGGATGTTTGTTCCCTTTAGTTCGACATGCATCCCAGCCTTTGCCTCTGCTAGCACACCAGCTTTTGGTGCAACAGGCTTTGCGCCCTTTGCTAGAACAACAAGTCCTATGTTCGGAAGCAGAGGAGATGGGTCTTATGGTGGATCATTTGGAGCTTCAAACACCCCGGCTTTTGGTTCATCTAGCTCCACCGTCGGTACTTCAAGCAACCAAGCTTTTGGTGCTTCAAGTACTACTGGTTTTGGTTCATTTAGTAGTACACAACCTTTGAGCTCTTCACCAACTTCTGCATTTGCCCAATCAAGTTCCAGATTCAGTAGCAGCCCATTTGGTGCTTCGTCTCCTTTTGGATCACAGTGTTTTCCATTTGGTGAGTATTTTAGATGTATATGGGTGTTGGTTTTGAATTTTGAATTGTTTTGTTACAGTAAAGGAATGCCTCATTCTATTCTGTTTTATTTTGTGGTGCAGTAGGTCAATCAACAACAATTGGGAACACCAGGCAGTCAGCTTTTGGTGGCCAACAACACAATGGTAGTAGCGTGGCTTCATACACTGCAACTCTTGCAGTTGATGATAGTAGGAAAGTGGAGTCAATATCTGCAATGCCAGTATATAAAGACAAAAGTCATGAAGAACTCCGTGTGGAAGATTATAAATTGGGGAAAGGTATGCTTTCTAGTTCAAAATTTTCAGTAACTCGGAATTTTTTCCACATTTGTCAAAGTTTACTACGAAATCCGTTATAACTTTTTCTTCCAGGTGTTCAATTTCCTGCCGGTGGGAGTACCATTGACATTTCTACCTCACAGCCGAATCGTTTGCATCCTGCACCATCACTTCTTCAACCATCTTCAAGTCCCTTTAGTACCTCTACTTCGTCTAATATATCTGCTCCAGAAACCCTATCATTCACTTCTCAAGGCATTGTTTTTACACCACCATCTCCTTCAGTTTTTCGACAAACATCATCTCTGTCTCCATTAAGTTCATCAACCTCATCTGGATTTTCATGTCTTGCTCCTGCTCAAACATCAAATTCTGCGCCTCCAGCTATGCAGATATGTATTGGACGAAGTGCCACTCCCTTTGGGCAGAAGAATACTCCATTTAGGAGCTCCTCTGAGGCTAGTTCTACAAGCAACCCAATTTCTTTTGGTCAAGCTACTGTAAGTTTCTTTTTCTCCCATATCTTTTTAATTGAATAGATTTTAATTGATGGTTTTGGCTCACTTTTTGCCCTATTTCTCTTTTCTGTGCAGCCTTTGTTCGTGTCATCTCAGCCTCTTCAGAGTAGTGGTTCTGTCTTCAACATTGTTAGTCAAAATCAGCAAGGTAACATGTTTTATGCATTTTGAATGGTTATAGCCATTGGTACTGATTTCATCAATTGTTGTCTTTGGCTTTGTAGGCAACCCAGGTGGTTCGACAGGAATTCTTGGTCAGAATGGGTTTGAAAGCTTTTCATCAACCCCTGCGTTTGGTCAATTAAGTTATATGTCCAGTTGCTGCCAGTTATGCGCTTCATGTGGTGAGTATTTTGTTTTATTTGTGAAGGTCGTTGTGTTTTGTTTCATTCTATCTGTATCATATTCTTATACTTTATGATGCAGGAGCTCAATCAACAACTGGAAACATTGCTCTGGGGAAGCCAGTTTCTGAGGGTCGGCATCAGGGAAGTGGTGTACCTACAACTGTAACAAACACTGCTTATGGTGAACCGGATGAAAAAATCCACTCAATATCGTCAATGCCAATTTATGGAGACAGATCTCACGAGGAAATGAGATGGCAGAATTATCAATTGGGGGATAAAGGTAAATTTTGCTTCATAAAGTTCGGATAACGCAGAAGAATTTATTGTGAGGAATGATGGCCTTTACTAGGTTCAATGTATGATTAATTTCTCCTTAAATTTCAGGTGGACCGGCTCTTGGTGGTGTGACTCACTTTCACTTGCTTACCAAGAAACCTGCACCGACATTTGCTCAAACATCATTGAGTCTGTCCAATACCTCTACTGTATCTAATATATCTGCTCCGCAAAATCCATCCATTACTGCTGCGGGCTTTGGAGCCTCATCCACACCCAATCTTTTTGCATCTTCATCATCAACTGCTTCATTATTTGGACCAATTCCATCTCCGTCCTTTTCTAGTTCATCAGCTGCACCAGCATCTACATTTGCATTTCCTTCTCCAGCTCCAGCAACAACTTCGACATGCAATCATGGCCTATTCGGTTGCATGCCGTCTGTTGCACAAACAGGTACCACTAACGCCGTGCAAACTAACTTCCTCTAGTGGGTCTACAACACCCCTTCCACTAGAGGTTAGTGCCACATACAAACAGCTGTATCAATCTTTTTCTTCAATCGAAGGTTTTTATTTTACTCCCTTAAGATTCATGGAGGCATTATACTTTTGTGTAGTTAAAGTTCCTCAATACGCCGGTCTTGCCCTAAGTTGGATAGGGTTTTGAACCCCTCATTATCCTAGCATCAATCGAACTTAGTTTTCGTGTTAATTTCTATTGGATGACAGTTTAGTGTGTTAAACCACACCCTAAGGAAAACGGGATGTTACTGAATGTGGAATTCACTTTGTTGTTTTCTGCCAGGAAAAGAGTAGGCTACAGATATCATTGCAAGAAATTCGAGAATGCATAATCGTGAGAAAAATGATCGAAAGGTGAGGGTTATGATGCATCTGATGAACTCTTATATCGTTTTTTCAGCACGATCTAATGCGAATTTGTGCTCACACATCTTATTGCAATATTTTTTTTTTCTTTTGCAGGGCTTGTTAGGATGCCAGATGGCATCATCTTGTGGTGACAGTTAGAGTTGAGCACGAGTATAAATAGTACATTGTAAGAGAAGGAAGGGGGTTAATGAAATGATATTGTTGTTCTGTTACTATCTCTCTGTGCAATTGTAGATGTGGAGCTAGGTTCTAACAGGGCTCTTCTTCTTCGTCTTCCTTTTCATGGTGATAGGCGCGCAGTCAAAACAAGCAAACGAGGATTGAATTTGAAGAAGAAACAAGTCTAGCAAAATCTACATCCTACAAATAGCATTACTTAGGTGTTTTGTTTGTTTAATAGAATTGATGTAACTAGTTTGGAATTGTGACCAAAACCAAATTGAAAATTTGCAGTTCTTTTTCTTTCAGTACAATTTCTGTTCAGGTTGTTATGAGTTTCGACATAATAAAAAATCATTGAAAAGAAATAAAGTTCTGTCAACCAAGGATTAAGAACAATACTTGGCTACTCAAAGATGAGTAGGAACTCCTACTCAAAATTTATCAAAATTATTCGTTGTCAACTTATAGAACTTCGCGTTTATAATCAGAACCATTCATATTATAAATCACCCTATAAAGATCGTCGCTACAAAAAATCAATTAAAACTAAGGTCGTTTAGTTATCAAACTGTTTAAAAACAAATGAACGATATTGGTAAAAGCATTACGAACTGTCTACGTATTTGCTACAATAGATTGACTAAATGACCTTAGTTTTAATTTATTTTTTGCATAGGTGATCTTTACAATGTGATTCATAGTATAAACGGTTCTGATCATAAACACAAAGCTCTGTGATTAAAACACTAAGAGTTTTGAGTAGGAGTTCCTACTTATCTTTGAGTAGCCAAGTATTGTTCAAGGATTAATTCATCTTAACAAATGATTAACAAGACCAATATATAAGCTTCCAAATATTGATTACATCTTTAAGATTGTCACTCACTGTGCAAGTGGTAAATTGCCCCGGTGATTAGGACAATTCCTCTTCAATTTATCGTATCCCGGATTCAAACCATCTCCCCTCCCCTTAATATTGTAGTTTATAAAAGGAATATCACTTACATTCGAAATTAAAAAAATAAAAAATAAAAAATAAACTGTCCCTAACTACTGCAATAACACATGAACAAGGAGAAAAACTTCAGCCCAGTTGTTTGATAAAAATGAGGATAGCAAAAGCCAAAACCCTAAAAACAAAGGTCTTCTGGGGCTGCCTTAACTACTGATTGGAACTAGACGAGAACATTTTGTATATAAATATATATTTCTTCGTACCTCTTTTATTTTTATTTGAATTTTCCATGCATCTAAAATATTTTTCCATCCATTAAAATAATTAAAATATATATTAATATTATAATTTGTGAATATATTTCTGCTATACGGACTTAATTTGAACGCTACTATTGCAAATACTGACGTAAGCCTCCCGCGCTCCGCCCTTTCTTTCGTGCAACACACGCAAACTTAGAACCTCCCGCGCTCTTTCTTACTTTGAACGCTAACTATTCAACTATGTATATTTCTGCGACTCTCTTCAAATCAAAAACCCTAATGCTCTAGCCCTCGCATTCTCTCATCGTTCGATCATTCTCAATTTCACTCACTCACTCCGATCAGGTACTTTGCAAAACCCTAATTTTTATGGTTCTTCTGTGTTTATCAGATTATAATGTGTTAATTAATTGTTTGCTATGATAATTAAACTTGTATCTAAGCGATTTCTCTCAATGTTGATTTACTGAAAGAGATTATTGAAGCATTAGGACCTAATCGTAGCATTGGTTCTTGAATTAAATATTCAATAAAATTGGAACCCGAATTTGACAAAACATGGAGTCCTTCATGCCAACTTTGTTAGAATTTTTCATCCGTGTGTGTCAATGTGCTTAATTTTGACACAAATCGAAATCAAGGATCAATGCTCTACATCATACCAATTTTGATGGATTCTTATTATTATTTAGGATCCAAAGCTACAGTTCGGTCATAGTTTAAGAATCAATAATCCAATTTACTCTTGCAAAATTACCAATGTGTAATTGGGCGAATGAAAAGACGATTACTGGACTAGAGTGGAAGTGTTGTCAATTTTCTATTCTAGTCTTATTTCAGCTTGATCTCCACAAGCACTGAAGATGTTCATGAATCCGTTTCCCGGGTCTTGTACTTGTACACACCACTTTTCACTTGTCGGGTACTGGGGTCCGACTAATTATAAGTTTTCTCATCTCAATCTTTTAATGTCAGCCAGGAGTCAAGATTTTTGTTTTCCTTGTTAATTGCACTCAGTAATTTTCAATGCGTTGCATATGTGAATGATTGTTTTCTGTAATTTTCATCTGGTATCAGAATAATGAGGCAGAGAAATTGGATTCAATATCAGAAATCCCAGAATATAAAGACAAAGTCATGAAGAACTCCGTTGGGAGGATAAGGGTATGAATTCTAGTTAAAACTTTTCAGTAACTTAAGAATGTTTCCGGTTCTCTATAACCTTCATCTAGTATGGCAATACGCGGCTGAGAATTCATTGAATATTGTTTAACATCTAATGGACAATCATCTAGAAGGTCAAGTCTGTTCCCATCGGCCCTTGAGCGTGAGCGGAACAACAACAATGCTTCTGCTCCCAATCTTTGCAAGTGCGGTCAGAATTGTAAATTTTGGCACAGAACCTATCTCCATAACAACTGGTGCTTCATCTTCGCAAACTTAAAAATACAATGCCTCCTTTCAGAGCATCTTCTACACCTAGCTCATCATCATCAATTATTGGTAAGCCTGAAAGATGGTTATTAGAAATTGCGTACAACGTCACTTTCTAAGTATGCGATTTTTTACCTTGCTAGAATTCTTTCCTTGCAAAATTTATTTTATCTTGATTTTTGAAGTACATAAATTAGTGTGCGGGTTGCTGGTTGTTTGGGGGCCAACAACGCGGGGATGAAGGTACGGTTTCTAGTTTTAACTTTTCAGTATCTTGGAAATTTTGCCGCATTTGACAGAAATAATGACATTTGCTAAGTTCAAAATGTTATAATTTCGACTTCCAGGTGGTCCAGCTCTTGCTGTTGGGAGTGGCTTTGGCACTACAACCTCACAGCCAAACCCCTTTGAATCCTGCACATACATTTTCTCATGCATCAAGTTCTTTTAATGCCACAGTGTTTACTCCAAAAGCTCCATCCTTCACTAATACAGGTTTTACAACAACGTCTACGCCATTCAGTTAATCAAGTTTTGCGATTTCTTGTACTTCAACCAGTCCTTTTTACACTATCACAAACCTCATCTCCGACTCTCTTTAGTTCGTCAAGCTTATAATCATTTTCTGCTCCGGCTAAATCAAACTTCATCCTTCACAAACCTTGTCACCATGTCTCTTTTGGTGGTGCTTTTACCACTCCATTATCTCAGCCATTCAGTAACCCTCCTACTGGCTGTTAGAGTTCTTTGAACTAGCTATGTTTCTAAGGAAGTAAGGAATCTGAAAGGTTAGAGAGAAATGCAATGTGAAGGAATGCTCTGTTCTACCTCTCTAAGTCTGAGAGTGATGTTTTATATATCTCACAATCAATACACGCACAAAAGCATGTGTACATAACAACTAGCCTTAGTTGGATATCCACAACCAACAATACAATCTCAGCCTTACACTTGTCATAATCTAAGACTAAGTGAATACACAATTAAAACAAGGCTTATTTACTTTAACTCTACTTAGCTCACAGCTTATACACTAATACTCCCCTTTAAGCTTTGAGCTGATACAACTCCAAGCTTATCTCTGAGATAGTTGAATCTCTCTTTTGGTAAGGCCTTGGTAAAAATGTCTGCCACTTGTTCTTTGGTTGGACAGTATACCAAATCAACAATTCCCTGCTGCAAAGCATCCTTTATGAAGTGATATCTTCTGTCAATGTGCTTAGTCCTTTGGTGAAACACTGGATTTTTAGTTATTGAAATTGCAGAGGTATTGTCACACTGCAAAGGAGTTGCTTCAGCTTGTAACTCTCCAAAATCTTCAAGAACAAACCTGATCCATATAGCTTGAGATGTTGCTTCGGCAGCACTAATATATTCAGCCTCTGCTGTGGATAGTGCAACACAATTTTGTTTCACAGAAGCCCATGAAAACACTCCACTGCCAAATGAAAAAGCATAGCCTGAGGTACTCTTGCTGTCATCTATTGATCCTCCCCAATCACTATCACAGAAACCAACTAAAACTGCCTTCTTGCCCTTTCACATAATGCAAACCATAATCCAGTGTTCCTTTGATATATCTGAGCACTCTCTCTTAGCTATCCCATAGTGCTTGTTAGAAGGACCATGCATATATCTAGCTAACAAACTAGCTGCATACATCACATCTGGTCTTGTAGCAGTAAGATACAATAAACTGCCTACAAGCTTTCTATATTTCTCTTCATCTGCTGCACCACTGCCATCTTCTTTACTCAACTTTTCAGTAGCCACAAGAGGTATAGAGACAGATTTACATTCTTTCAGTCCAAACTTATCCAACAGGGAAGAGGCATACTTCTTTTGATGAATGAAGATGCTAGATTCTGTTTGAATTACTCCCATCCCCAGAAAATGGTGAAGAAGGCCCAAGTCTGACATCTCATACTTCTCCTTCATATCTTCTTTGAACTCATCCAACATGTCTTGATTGTTTCCAGTATACACAATATCATCCACATATATGGAGACTATTAGTATATCCTTTTCTCCCATTGTCTTAGTGTAGAGAGTTGCTTCACTTAAGCTTTTCTCAAACCCACACTTAGCAAAATAACTGTCAATCTCTCCATACCAGGCCCTAGGTGCCTGTTTCAAGCCATAAAGAGCCTTGTGCAGTTTGTAAACTTTGTCTTCCTTGCCATTAATCACAAACCCTTCAGGTTGATCAACATATACTTCTTCCTGCAATATTCCATTTAAGAAAGCAGACTTAACATCTAATTGAAATATCTTCCAGTTTCTGTGTGCAGCAAGTGCAATCAGTGTTCTGATGGTGTCCAATCTGGCAACTGGAGCAAAAGTCTCATTGTAATCGAGTCCTGGTTTCTGCACATACCCCTTGGCAACCAATCTGGCCTTGTTCTTTTGTACTGAACCATCTAGATTCAGTTTGGTTTTGAACACCCATTTAACTCCAATCACCTGCTTATCACTTGGTCTGTCAACAAGCTCCCAAGTTCCATTCTTCTCAATCATTTGCAGTTCTTCTTCCATTGCCTTTATCCAAGCCTGATCTTGTGCAGCTTCTTCATATTTCTCAGGTTCCACAATGCAAATGTTGCACTGTGTCATAATGTCATTTATGCTTCTCCATTTCACTGGAGTATGATCATAAGACTGAGGGATCTCAT